CGACAATATGTTAGGTAAAAGGACAGAAGTGCAGCTAATGTGATATTTTATTGTGGCAACGTTTCGCTCTCCAGGAGCTTTATCAAGCCGTTATCATCAGAAACTCAGATGGAGCAGAGAGAAAAATCATAATTCCAATTGAAATACCATAAAATACCATTGTGGAGGGTGGAAATTCCGGCTTTGTGGTATCTGGTCGAAGAAATTACGGCTTGGTGGTTTTATCTGGTCGAAGAAATTACGGCTTGGTGGTTTTATCTGGTCGAAGAAATTACGGCTTGGTGGTTTTATCTGGTCGAAGAAATTACGGCTTGGTGGTTTTATCTGGTCGAAGAAATTACGGCTTGGTGGTTTTATCTGGTCGAAGAAATTACGGCTTGGTGGTTTTCTCTGGGCGAAGAAATTACGGCTTGGTGTTTTTTTCTGGTCGAAGAAATTACGGCTTGGTGTTTTTTTCTGGTCGAAGAAATTACGGCTTGGTGGTTTTTATCTGGTCGAAGAAATTACGGCTTGGTGGTTTTTATCTGGTCGAAGAAATTACGGCTTGGTGGTTTTTTCTGGGCGAAGAAATTACGGCTTTGTGGTATCTGGTCGAAGAAACTACGGCTTGGTGGTTTTATCTGGTCGAAGAAATTACGGCTTGGTGGTTTTTTCTGGTCGAAGAAATTACGGCTTGGTGTTTTTTTCTGGTCGAAGAAATTACGGCTTTGTGGTATCTGGTCGAAGAAACTAGGCTTGGGGTTTTATCTGGTCAAGAAATTACTGCTGGTGGTTTTTTGATGGTCGAAGAAATTACGGCTTGGTGTTTTTTCTGGTCGAAGAAATTACGCTTGGTGGGTTTATCTGGTCAAGAAATTACGGCTTGTGTTTTTTTGGTCGAAGAATTTCGGACTTGGTGTTTTTTTCTGGTCGACGAAACTCGGCTTGGTGGTTTTTTCCCGGTCAAAAAATTACGGCTTGGTGGTTTATGGTCGAAAATTACGGCTGGTGTTTTATCTGGTCGAAGAAATTACGGCTTGGTGGTTTTTATCTGGTCGAAGAAAGGTAAACGCTTATAATTATAAACAGCATCAATTTTCTACGATTGATGCATCGTATGAAATGGTTGATGGATTTGTGGAGTTAGCCTGTGTAGGCACAACAAATTTCTTGGAATCTGAGCAATAAGTTCCTGGAGAGCGAAACGTTGCCGCAGTAAAATGGCATCTGGGAGGGGGGGGCAACAGGATTTAGAAGAGGAGGGGAGGGCAACAGGATTTAGAAGAGGAGGGGAGGGCAACAGGATTTAGAAGAGGAGGGGAGGGTAACAGGATTTAGAAGAGGAGGGAGGGTAACAGGATTTAGAAGAGGAGGGGAGGCAACAGGATTTAGAAGAGGAGGGGAGGGTAACAGGATTTAGAAGAGGAGGGGAGGGCAACAGGATTTAGAAGAGGGGAGGGCAACTGGATTTAGAAAAGGAGGGGAGGGCAACAGGATTTAGAAGAGGAGGGGAGGGCAACAGGATTTAGAAGAGGGGGGAGGGCAACAGGATTTAGAAGATGGGAGGGCAACTGGATTTAGAAAAGGAGGGGAGGGCAACAGGATTTAGAAGGTAGGGGAGGGCAATAGGATTAGAAGGGGAAGGGAATGCAACAGGAACTAGAAGGGAGAGGAGGGCAACAGGATTTAGAAGGGGAGGGGAGTGCAACAGGATTTAGAAGGGGAGGGGAGTGCAACAGAATTTAGAAGGGGAGTGCAACAGGATTTAGAAGGGGAGGGGAGTGCAACAGGGTTTAAGAGGGGAGTTCAACAGTATTAAGAAGGGGAGGGGGAGGTGGTGCAGGAAGTGAAGGTTGGGGTATGCAATCTCCTCAAACAAATGAAGTCTCTGCCCATAACATCCAAGATAAGTAAATAACTGGTGCGTCTCCCTGCGCCCCGCCGATGAAACAATGCATGAGAACTAAATTAGGGCCCCTGCTGTCTGGGTCACCACCACAGGGGGCCCCACACAGCATCGTAATTACCCACAATTTCAGGGAGATAAAAAATAGTTTGATCTGCCGGTAAAGAAAACGGGAGTCTTGGGGTGGGTGACTTGGATCGTGGGAGGGGGTACTCCTCTATGGTACAGTTATGGCGTGTCGGGGACCTGTGCGATAACTGGATACCCAGACCAGAGGGCCAAGATAACATTCTCAAGATGACTGTCGGGATAATGGGGTCTGAATGAACCAGCCTGGTCGTTATCTTGATGCACTAACGATGAAGAACGGAGAGGCGGCAGCGGCGTGTTGTGTAGGAGAGGCGCCATGGTCTGAATTTTTACGACGCTAACTCTGTTGCCACACATCCATAGAGAGCTCTTGACGGGTTTGGGAGTAGTTAACACTAAGGGGACTACCGAAGAGTGACTATTTAAATAGCATCAAGCCTTTAGTCACCTCTATGACTACCCAAAAAATAAGATCTCCTTCGTGATAGCGCTTTACAGCCATGAAGCTGTACAGCTCTGTCTGGAGGTTTGCACCAAGTGTCTGTCAGACAAGTCTAATCCCCTCAAGGTGCCTTGATGCCAGAGACTGGGCTCTTGATTAAATAAACTGGATTTATCCTTCCATTCCTTGGGTCGAACCTGCGTGGCCTCCCCCCCATTTCCCCATGTGCTGAATGGCCCATGGGTTTAGTCCTCCCATGAATACACGAAGTGCTATCAAAGTGTCCCCGTACTCGAATTTTCGTGCACTTCCTGAGTGGAATATGGCGGCAATGTAGATCACCCTGCGTAGCAGATAACCCTGCGCAGTACATCACCCTGCGCAGTACATCACCCTGCGCAGTACATCATCCTGCGCGGTGCATCACCTGCGCAGTACATCACCCTGCGCAGTACAGACGTCTTCTTTTCGTTTTCTGTTCGTTATGAAAGGTACCTTTAACAAATTCAACTTCAACAACAAGAACATCATCTGGGATCAGGTAAACTATGCCCTAAATGAAACATGCTGGGAGATTATCTTAAATTACATGGACCCTAACCAATGCCTTGAATAGATCACCCTCCTGGTAGCTGAAGTATGTTCAAGGTAAATTCCTGTAAGACAAAAAAAAAAAAAAAGAAGAAGTAAACTGGAGAGAGAGAGACGCTCCCTCTAGAGGAATGTCAGATTATCTGATACACGGAAGGAAGTGCTAACCAGGGAAGTGGAAAATATTGAGCTGAAGTTAAAGGACCCATACAGGATCCAGGAGAGGCAAGAGGAGATAAAAGCGATTAATGAAATTGAAAGAAATTCGAAATATTTCTTTTCATATGCCAAAAACAAGTCAAAAAATCACTTCTAGTATAGGGCCCCTGCTCAGACAAGACGGATCCTACACAGACGACAACAAAGAAATAAGCGAGATACTGAAATTGCAGTATGACTCAGTGTTCAGCGAGCCACTAACCAGTTTAAAGATAGACAATCCAAACAATTTTTCATGAACGAACCTCAAAACCCTGCCAATGTAGGCCAGATTTATGACATAACCGTAACTCCACTATACTCTGAGAAAGCCATCAACGACATGCCCATGCACTCAGCCCCAGGCCCAGACTCGTGGAACTCGGTGTTCATTAAAAACTGCAAAAAAAACCCTCTCACGGGCCCTAAGTATGGTATGGAGAAGGAGCTTAAACACAGGCGAGATTCCACAGTCACTAAAAACAACAGATATAGCCCCACTCCATAAAGGTGGCAGCAAAGCAGTAGCTAAGAACTATAGACCAATAGCTTTAACGTCCCACATCATAAAAATCTTTGAAAGAGTTCTAAGAAGCAGGATAGCAAACCACCTGGACTCCCAAAAATTGCACAACCCAGGGCAACATGGTTTCAGAGCAGGTCGCTCCTGCCTTTCGCAAATGCTTGACCACTATGATATGGTCCTAGATGCACTGGAAAACAAACAGAATGCGGATGTAGTATACACAGACTTTGCAAAAGCCTTTGACGAGTGCGATCATGGTGTAATAGTACACAAAATGCGTGCTTAAGGGATAACCGGCAAAGTAGGCAGATGGATCTTCAACTTTCTAACCAATCGCACACAAAGAGTAGTGGTAAACGGAGTTAAATCAGATGCTGCCATGGTGAAGAGCTCTGTCCCACAAGGCTCAGTACTCGCACCTATCCTGTTCCTTACTCTCATATTAGACATAGACAGAGATGTAAACCACAACACTGTATCATCTTTTGCAGACGATACTAGTATCTGCATGATTGTCATCCATTGAGGACACGGCAAAGCTCTAAGAAGATATAAACCAAGTTTTCCAATGGGCAACAGAGAACAATATGATGTTCAATGAAGACAAATTCCAACTACTCCGTTATGGAAAACTGGAGGAAATAATAACTAGGACTGAGTATACTACAAACTCCAATCACACAATAGAGAGGAAAAGTAATGTGAAGGACCTGGGAGTGGTAATGTCCGAAGACCTCACCTTCAAGGACCACAACAATGCCACTATCACATCTGCTAGGAAACTGATAGGATGGATAATGAGAACATTCAAGACAAGAGATGCCAAGCAAATGATGATCCCTTTTAAATCACTTGTTCTCTCTAGGCTGGAATACTGCTGTACATTAACATCCCCATTCAAGGCAGGTGAAATTGCCGATCTAGAGAATGTACAGAGAACCTTTACTGTACATATAAGTGCCATCAAACACCTTAACTACTGGGAGCGCCTGGAAGCACTTGACTTGTACTCACTAGAGCGCAGGCGAGAGAGATATATCATAATATACACCTGGAAGATTCTGGAGGGACTGGTCCCTAATATGCACACAGCAATCACTCCATACGAAAGCAAAAGACTTGGCAGGCGATGTAACATACCCCCAGTGAAAAGTAGGGGCGTCACTGGTACACTAAGAGAAAACACAAGTATCCGGGTCCCAAGACTGTTCAACAGCCTCCCACCAGCAATAAGGGGACATTACGGGAAGAGGGAACTGGACAGATACCTAAAGACGGTGCCGGATCAGCCGGGCTGTGGTTCGTACGTTGGATTACGTGCGGCCAGCAGTAACAGCCTCGTTGATCAGGCCCTGATCCACCGGGAGGCCTGGACGTGGACCGGGCCGCGGGGGCGTTGATCCCCGGAATAACCTCCAGGTAAACTCCACGTTGTTGTGTTTTTCTGTAACAAAATGGAATCTTTAAAAGAATGAACAATGTGTACACTGTACCTGCATACTAACATACCTACACACACATATACAATAACAAACTATGCACTAAACCCGTCGTATGGTTCATACTGCATACATACATTTCGTATTTTGGCTGTTTTATACTTCTGTGACCGCTCTACACCACTCCTTTTGTGTGTATTGAGGCAGAGGAGGCTGGGCTTGCGAGATACGAGGATCGAACAGAGGCTGAAATGCAGCTAGATTTGATAATACTGGGAAGGTAAGAGTTAGTGAGTAACTGCGACCTCAGACTGATCGCCTTCGTAAATGGAAGAAGAAAAATATCAGAAAGACGTAAAGAAGAAATGTGTCGAGAGATTATATACAAAACCAAATTATTTAGATTTTTCTGCCGAAGTGGCTAGTTTGAATAGATAATTTAGAAAAATCGACAAGTTCCACTAGTAGGTTTCTCCACTGGTGACTCCGCCTACCACTGCTTCACCTCGTCTGTCAGAAGTAGATATGTCCCTTCTCCGCGAGTATGCTGCGCAGACTCCAGACTGAGGGACTGATTACCTCAACTCCTAATCTTCTACCTCTCTCTGCGCTGGACTGAAGAAGCCACTTACTGGTGAAACGTTTCCAGAATAAACATATCCAAATGTTGCATTACTGGCTAGTTTACTGGGCACCACATATCCATTCTGTGGATGGTAGTGGCTAGTTTATCATGTACCCCATATCCATCCTATTGAGGGATATATCCATAGGATGGACTTGGGATGGACATTACGCTTATTCAAGTCTCACTGTACTAATCACTCCTCTGCTTTTCATCGGAAGAATCTTGTACCATCTGTCCAGCCTCTTGTGTTTAAACGTAGTTATTTCAGAGTGCAGATTTGGGACCAGTTACTCCAGAATATTCCAGGTGTAGATTATATCTTTATTCTCTGCATCGTAAGGAGTACCAGTTCTAGGTACTTCAAGCACTCTCAGTAATTCAGGTTCTTGAGTTTATACAAGCTGTAAGATTTCATCTGTCGTGAAGGGGGTCGTTAGTATGTCACCATTGGCTTCTCATCTGTTTTCAAAGTTCTAATTATCCAACCTATCCTTTTTCTTGCAGTTGTGATATCGTTATTTTGCTCCTTGAACTTGAGATCTTCTGACATTATCACTCCCAGGTTTCTCACATTTGGCTTACTCTCTATTGAGTGGTCTTGTACTCAGATCCAGTTTCTGTTTCCTCAGTCTTTTCACGATCTAGTAACCGAAATTTGCCTCACTGAACGTCACACTGTTGTCAGTGGTCCACTCGAAGACTTGGTTCATGTCACCTTTGCCTTTGACGAGTTTCGAGAGTTTTTCTACCCACATTATTATTATTATTATTATAATCAAGGGGAAGCGCTAAACCCGGAGGATTATACAGCGCCTGGGGGGGGGGGATGTGGAAGGCATTCAGGCTTAATTCGGGGAACTGGAGCACAGATCCAATTCCCTAAATCAAGAGCCCCTCACCAACATCAAGGAACCTTCCTTGAGGGGTTTCTACCCACAGATTCCAGTCTTGGGCCAGGCTTGTCTGGTGTTTGCCTGGCCGACCAGGTTGTTGCTGCTGGTGGCCCAGTGACCTACATTTCCATGACAACCTGGTTTAACTAACACTTGGTGAAGATACTTGTCTAGTTTCCTCTTAAAGACTTCTAAACTTGTCCCACCAGTGTTTCTGATATCTTCTGGTAAGATGCTGATTAGAATCATAACTAAGAGCTAAACCCATGAGGGTCATACGTACAGACCTCTTATTGTGCTCATTACACCCTTCCTTCTCACTAGGTTTATTTTTCACTTCATCCCATCTCTCACACTCCAATCTGTTGTTATGGTAATGTGCAGACTTGGGTCCAGGCCCTCAAGTACTTTGCAAGTTTATATTATCGTGTATCTTTCTGCTCCAGTGAGTACATATTTAAGACTGAAGGTTTCCAGTTTTTAAATGCTTTACTGGCCTCATACGAGCTATATACGATTTCTGTATCTGTTACGGTTCTGGTATTTTTCCTGTCCTGAACGGTTCCGTCAACACTGAGCAATATACCCAGTGAGAGAGCACAAGTGATTTGAAAAGTGTCACTATTGCCTTGATTGCCTTTGTTTTGAAAATTCTCATTGTCCACCCCGTCATTTTCCTGGCTGTTTGACCTTGGTGTTGTGTTCTTTGAAAGTAAGGCTGGCTAACATAATTACTCCCAGGTTTTTCACATTTTCATTTCTTTCTATTTGACAGTCAGCTTGGAGGTTTGTGCTGTCTGTCCTGGATACCATTTTCATGCAGATTTCATCAGACGTCTTGACTGATCAAGATAGGATCAACCAGGCTGTTACTGCTGGTCCGCATGCAAAGGTACAAACAACAGCTCGGTTGTCAACAACTGCGTTGAAGAACTTATCCAGTTCCCTATTGAAGACAGTCAGGGCTCTGCTGGTAATCCCTCTTATGTACGCTGGGAGGCTTTTGAAGAGTCTTGGGACCCTTACACATTTTTCTTTCAAGATTAAGCCTGTTTTCAGAATCCTCACATCCACAAGTTCTACACACCTTATCACATATCCACACATCAACACATAGCCAGCAACATGTAGCACTGCTCACAGACACACAAGCCTGGTTGCATCCAGGCCCTGATCCACCGGAGGCCTAGTCGTGGACCGGGCCAGCAGAGGAGTTGACCCCGGAATACCCTCCAAGTAGACTCCTGGTAGGTAGATCCACAAACCACCTAAACCATCCCACAAAGTTCTTTTGGGTTCCTCACCCATAATCACCAGGCGCAACTTACCGCATATGTTAGATGGTTAATGAACAACATACATACCACGCAGTGAAGAGGTGAAGCCAGGAACCAAGGGCCTCGACCCTTCATCTACGTATAGTGAGACAACTAAGAGTATGTCAAGGTCAAATATATACGAAAAGAAGAACACTTGAATGCAACGTAAATCATAACTTAAGAAATGAGAGTGATGCTGGCTTTTCAGTCTCACCAGAGGTTGCACGTCATCACACACGCACGCAGCCAGATGTTTTGATATCGCCCAAAGGCACACACATCGCTAGAGGTACATATAAACCAGGTAACATATGCTAGACAGGTACATCTTAACACAGCATTCAGAAACTCTCACATAAGAGTCCTTTAGAACACGTTACAAGATGTATGATCGTATCGGTGTAGACGACGCGCCACCAGTATGGTGTATGCACCACCAGTATGGAGTATGCACCACCAGTATGGAGTATGCACCACCAGTATGGAGTATGCACCATCAGTATGGAGTATGCACCACCAGTATGGAGTATGCACCACCAGAAATGGAGTATGCACCACCAGTATGGAGTATGCACCATCAGTATGGAGTATGCACCACCAGTATGGAGTATGCACCACCAGTATGGAGTATGCACCACCAGTATGGAGTATGCACCACCAGCATAGAGTATTCACCACCAACATAGATTATGCACCACCAACATAGAGTATGCACCACCAACATAGAGTATGCACCACCAACATAGAGTATGCACCACCAACATAGAGTATGCACCACCAACATAGAGTATGCACCACCAACATAGAGTATGCATCTTGAAAGGCTGGGCCAGGAGCTAGGAGTCGACCACTGCAACCCCAAATAAGTGAGTACACACCTAACCTGCTTCATAAAGGCCACACACCGTCGACCTCAAAGGCGTGCTGACCTCCCTGAACTCTGACCTATGACTGGTCAGGTCATCGATTCTTTACTCAGAATTAGTTACAGGTATAGGCACTGTCCTAATGCAGGAGGCATAGTTTGTATGCAGTGCCAGAGACTAACCAAATATAGTCTAGCACTCTATACATAAATTCTTATACAAAGTATCCACTGCAAAATGAAAGATTTTGGCTGACCTTAGAATATATCTGGCGCTTTCATGTGCTTACACATATCTTCAGAAGACGTGTGTAATCACATGAATATATATATTTATATATATAATATATATATATATATATAATATATATATATATTTATATATATATATATATATATATATATATATATATATATTATATATTTATATATATATTATATATATATTATTATATTATATATATATTATATATATATATATATATTATATGTGTGTGTGTGTGTGTGTAAATGCCGAATATCTAAAACTTGCGATTTTGGGTTAAATAGCAACGCTCTTCTTGCCGAATAAGGCAAGCGAGAATTTGTGTATGCAAACGTCGTCATAAGTTTCTTTCTATAAGCGCTTTGTGTATTATTATTATTATTATTATTATTATTATTATTATTATTATTATTATTATTATTATTATTATTATTATTATTATTATTAGCATTATTATGTTAATGGTTGTGGGTATTAAGATGCCCAGGGCTGGGCCTCAGGGATCTCAGACTGGGCCTCAGGGCTGAGTCTCAGACTGGGCCTCAGGACTGGGTCTCAGACTGGGCCTCAGGGCTGTGTCTCAGACTGGGCCTCAGGACTGGGTCTCAGACTGTGCCTCACGGCTGGGTCTCAGACTGGGCCTCAGGACTGGGTCTCAGACTGTGCCTCAGGGCAGGGTCTCAGACTGGGCCTCAGGGCAGGGTCTCAGACTGGGCCTCAGGGTAGGGTCTCAACTGGGCCTCACTGCGTGTTCAGACTGGGCCTCAGGCGGGTCTCATACTGGGCCTCAGGGCTGTGTCTCAGACTGGGCCTCAGGATGGGTCTCAGACTGTGCCTCCAGGTGGGTCTCAGTACCGGGGCCCAGGTAAATGGGTCTTATACTGTGCCATCAGGCTGTGTTTCAGACTGGCTCAAGGTCTGGGTATCAGGGCATGGGCCTCAGGATGGGCTCTACTGGGCCTCAGGGCAGTGGTCTCAAAACTGGGCCTCAGGCTGTGTTTCAGATGGGCCACAGGGCAAGGGTCTCAGACGGCC